CTTGCACATGCAGCTTTTGCTTTACCTATTAAACTCTCCTTATCCTAACCCATGAGTTCACTCACTTTTACCCTTCTGATTCTCTTCCCCATCCCACTACAGGGGGAGTGAGAGAGCGGCTGGGTAGGGCTGAGCTGCCTGCTGGGATTAAACCACAACAAGATCAAAGATAATTTAGAATTTCCTTTCAAAGACTTCTCTAAATCAGGCCTTATGTGCATACTAGTGACTGCAGAGGATGTATGGTTGTCCTCTCTAGAAGGGATAACCTTTGCCAAGCTTGGTGAGGTGATTTGTGTCTGCAGTGCCATGGCTCTCTGATTAAGGGTTATTGCAGCAGTAATGGCATGCATCAGTTTTGCTATTCCAAAAACAGTCCTTTGCTCAGGCTGTTTAGATTAATGGCAGTATAATCCAGGTCAGTATCAAAATTCTTGCAGGAGCACCATTTATACTGCATTTTGTTATTTTCAATAAATAATCTTAGTAGTGATATTTAATTAATCATTTGCATTTCATGAGCTTCTAAGTCTGCAGTTTTGGGGACAGAGTAAATAGGATCAAGATTTATTAATTATCGTGTTTTAACAGATTGTCCATGCTTGCTGCTGGGTCACTTCACTTTTTCAAACTGGGGAAATGAATGAATGTAATCTCAGTGTATAAAAGCATGTGTAGGGGCAAGTTCATACAGGCTCTCCCTCTGTAGCTCTCTTTATGGGTTAATTAAGTCACGCATAATGGTACTTAAATACATATAAGATAGTCTGAAGAAATGACTAGCAACAGCTAATCTTGAAAAAAAGCAAGATCTAAGAAAAATTTGGCCTTCTGTACTTTCATATTGTATGGGAAAGAGATGCATTGAGAGTGCATGTCTGTGCATAGATCTCTTACTAGGTAAGTATCTCTTTATGAGCATCTGAGTTAATAATTCCTTAAAAATAATTAGGAAATACAGTACCTTCCTTATGGCTAAATGTTCTGACTGGATTTCTAAATCCTTACTTCCTAGCCCTCATAGCATTTTTCTGGGCAGAGGTATATGAGGGTGCTAGATTTTAATGTCTAATGAGCATATGACAACATAAAAGCACCAAGACAGGTTTAGGCATCCTGGCTGGAAGACTAACACGTAGCTTAAAAAGAAAACGCAAAACAATAAACACAGACTAAATGAAATATTAGTCTTAGCCTTTGAATTGCTATACAAGTTCCAGCTGTGTTATTAAATATATTCTATCAGGCCACTTCCACCAGGCTTCCTCCAAAGCCAACAATGAAATGCTGGGGAAGAAGAGGTGACAGGGGCAGACCCTCTGCCTCAGTTTCCTACTGCTCAGGTGTTACACAGCAGCAAGCTGGAGTGGTTCTCCTGAGTGCCAAAGTACTGGATTCTCAATTATTGGCCTTCTAACAGCTGAGCTTTAAATTAAAAAAAAGAAAATTCTTCATGTTGAACTCTTTTGCAGCTGATGAGGACATCTGTGCTGCAATCCTGTACTGCAACACCTATTAGCCACCCATTTTTCTCTGACCCTCCCATTCATCAGCTTTTTGAAGCTGTAGGGAATGAAGCAAGTGCTGGCATTGCTCTCTCCTGACTCTGCAGCACGCGTTCTGGAAGGCAGTCTGGGAGACCAACAGAGAAGGGGTTAAAGTGCTCTGTGTTTTGCACTTGGTTACTAACCTTCGAGCCAAGGGGGAATTGTTCTCCTTTCATTGAAGTCCTTCAATCTCTTTGCATTACTTTTGGTGCTGTATAACATTTTAAAAGCTTCCTGGCTGACAGACATGGCCGGAGGCAGAGCTCTGCTGGGAGAACTGTAATGTACAGAGCCTCCTCAACAAAGAGCAGTGGCATAGCAGTTAAATTGAATACAGCATGATTTGGGGGTTTGTGAAGCAGTGCAGACTATCCCACCACTTTTTTATGTTGTTTATTTCCAGCTCCCATTTATGGCTGGGCAATTCAAAAGGATACTTTGAATTCTTTGTTTGGTTGGTGTTTTTTGCTATGTTTCATGGTTACTATGATTTTTCCATAAAAACTAGGCATGCACCCTGCAACCATGGATCAAGAGAGGCACAGGAGTTTGGAAGTTTTGGAACTGAATTATGGATGAACACAGTCTGAACCTAATGTAATATACCGTTGAATGCATTGAAGAGAGAAGCACAAAAAGTCATGTGAACTGTTAAATAAAAAAAGCTGTTAATAGAAATACATAACAAATATATTAATATTGAGTGCAGTTCACTAGTGTGGTAGGGTCCTGTCTTAAAGTTTTTTTGTTGGAATAAAATCCATAGAATATAAATGATAATGCAAGTGGGAAGTTTGTACCCGTTGTACCTAAGAAAATTTTGCTCTAGATTAAAAAGACTGAAATGTCTTGAGCACAACTTAGAAATTTTTTTTTTTTTTTTTTTAAAGGATCATGAGCAGATAGGAGTTCTTCCCCCATTTTTAATCCTTTCTGAAGGTAGAATTAAAACACTCACTTGCACTAGATACCTTTTCACCACATTTTTTTCTTTCTTTTTATTAAGCCTAAAACATAGCCTTTCTAATCAGAACAGAAAATCTTGCCCTAAATTTAGAATAGGAAGTACAATTATTTTTCTAAAGTGTTTTTTTTTTTTATTCTTCAAAACTTGTTAGGTTTTCTGGGCTCCCCATTATAAATCCTTTCTATTTAGATACTTCAGCATGTACCTAGCAATGAAGAATTTTTATGTTATTTATTGTTATGGATAGTAATAGTATTATTCATAAGGAAAATATAACCTTTGGCAGTGTTTGAAAACGAAAAAGATACATGGTTAGGTACTTTACTGTTTCTTCTTTTCTGAGGTCCATATCATGTCATTGATTTTTAAGCAGAATTCTTTATTGATTTGGTAGAAACTTCTGCTTAAAAATTAATGACACAATATGGCCCTAAAAGTGGTGAATTCCATAGTGATATAAATTCTATTTCGGTTTTTAAAATGTAAAATGCATCCATCTTAAATCCTACAAGTAGTATTTCTTGTACCTGACAACCAGCAGACTGTAGAGTAGGTTGGCACTTCATTCCTAGGTTGTAGGTCTTAATGAGACAAGATTATGAATTTATTCTTAAGTCTTCAATCCACAGTGGGATTTAAAATTTGTTAGCATGGAAATGTGGTTTATGGAAATGTTAGTTGTCAGAAAACAACTTTGATCCCCTTCTATTCAAGTTAGTGCAACATGCAGCCTGCCAGTCGTCCACCCCTAATGAAGAAGAGCCACGGAAGGGAAAGTGTGTTCGTTAAACAGATGTCCTGGGCCTTAGTAAAGTGTGAGGGTTCAGTTTTAACACCTGCATCAGGGCCGGAATAGGCAAGGGTAGCTTCAAGGAAGCCATTAAGCCATTCTCCCTATTAAAAGAAAGACCAATAGCTTGGAAGAGTGGGGAAAAATAAACACTAAAGTCTTCATGTTGCCTCAGTACTTACTGCTGCCTACCTGAAAAGGAATGTAGAAGTTGCGTTCTTGTTTATTGTCTAATTCTGAATTCTAGAATAGCTCCATTTGTTTCAGCATGGATTCCATAGATTTAGCAGTCTTCATGGTGTCTTTACCAGGGCCTGGGTCACAGTATTTTCAGATGGTGTGAGTGCTTATTTTCACCAGTTTTTATTGCTGCTGAATTTGGCGCAAAGTTGCGAATGACAGCTAGAGCTACATTTTATTGGACTTGTTTCATACTCCATAATATTTAAATATTTACATCCCTAATATTTAAATATTTAAATCCTTTAGCACTGTCATTTTATTAATTGCAGGCAATGAATCAGAACATTTCGTAGATACAAAAAGATAGCACCTCTGTTAATTATACTGTGGCTAGAAAACAGAGTATATTTTCCTATCTGTCTTTCTGATAAAATAGTCTGTGCTGGTATAAACAGAGCAGTGTGAGAGCATAACAATTCCTTTAGGCTTTTTTTTTTCCTTCTTCTTTGCTGATGGCATTTTGCTGCTACAAGGATCACCACAGTTTTAATTGTCACCTTGATGTGACAGTTCTGTCTCAGCCCTGTAGTTAGTTAGCACTGATTTATTTTTAATCTGTGTACCTGGCATTTGTCGGTATAAATGAGTATCACTGTCTTATCTTACTGGCTTCCGTGTTGTTTCATTTTCTACACTGACTGCAGTTTTATCATTTTCTCCCTATATCAGGACTGCATTTCTTAATGTACTTTACAGTAGTCTTGAAGAACAACACAGGTATCATTTTGATACAAGGCCTGTTGTGAGAAGAGAATGCCAGTCATAGACTTCATATTGCGTGTTGGCAGCTTTGTGGTATTTAGCTGTATGAGCACTATTTCCCTTTTTTTATTTCCCATGGAATTCATACAAATCTATCCTCCAGAGTCCAAGGTTAACAAGCAAAGCATTCCTGCTCTGGACAGTAGGATGGAAGACTGGGTCCCCTCTTCCCCAGTATTTTTTGTGTAAATCCGGAGTAAATATTTTTGACATCACTGATGGGTAACAGTTTTGTCTGATAACTGGGTCATAAAGCAAAGGCTATGGGCCTGTCCTCAGACAGACACAAAGGTAATGCTAAGCAGAGCAAGAATGAGCTATTCCTGTAATAACTGTACAATGTTCTAGAGCAACTCAGTGCTACAATCAAAATAGCAATCTCTTTTAAAACTGTGATTCCTAATCTTTTTCTCTGTCTCTAGAAACTAACTAGGTGTGAGAATTTTGATGAACGCTTCAATGTAATTTTATGTAATTTGATGTTGCCATGTAAATCTCTTTTATAGGTCCCTTTAGATGGAATTTAATGCGGCAAAAACCTTGTCATCAGAAGGATTAATGCCTACATTAGCATTTCTGCAATAAAATCAGAAGCTAAGTGGTGGAGGCCACAGACACCTCAAACCTGGATTCCTCTGCTCTGCATTAAGTGCTGGAGTTTTTATTGCTTGCTGTAGGGAAGCCGTTGCCAATGCTTACAAGGAACTGCTTATCCCTGCTTCTCTGGGTCCTGTTTGATGGAGGTCTCCTAACGCCACTGCATCCGCAACCACAACAGACTTTAGAAGCAGAGCCAAGAGAAAATGTTGTCCCAGTGCCAGGGAGGAGGTCATCTGCCCAGCGAGTCAAACGAGGCTGGGTGTGGAATCAATTTTTTGTGCTGGAGGAGTACATGGGCTCCGAACCTCAGTATGTGGGAAAGGTAATTTTTTACTCTTTCTTTAAAAGTTGTAATGACACAGAGAAATAGTAAAATGTGCTATAAATGTGTACCTGTTTCTGGTGGGGCAACAGTAGTTCCCTCTGTCCATCCCCTTCACCATCCAGACTCTCAAATAGCCACTACACTTTCTACCTTTGTATGTTTGTCTTATTTCCTTTTCCATTGTTTTGGAATAAAACAAAAAAAAATGGGAGTTCTGAGATAAGATCATGGTGCACAACTAACTTTAATTGAATCTACTGTTATAGCATACTTGATTTTTAGCAATGAATGTCAGACTGATATCAGAGATAAGATTTAAACCAGAACTCTCTAGCCCAGAATGCACAGTCATTTTTGTGATCGGTATGGTTACTTCAAGCCAGTTTTCAGTGAACGAAAATACCTGCTTTTTGCTCTGTTATCTTATGCCTCAGTATCATTTGCTTTTATTTCTGATTGTTCAAATTGTTTTCAAGTATTTCTAATATGCTTTATTGCTTCATAATTCAAACTCTTGCATTTTAGCTTTTATACTCTGTGTGCAGACATGCATACTCACACATGCAGAGAATTTATGCAATTCTCTCTCACTATATGACCACTGTTTCTGTAATGGGGCATAAGTAATTTGATAGCCGACTGTTCGAGGGGTGTGGGGGGTGAATTTAGACAATACAGTTTTCAGAAAGGAAACGAGGTCTGAAAACGAGACCTGAAAAAAATAGTAACACAGTATATAATTGCATGCTATGTATAATTTTCAGTTTAAGTAAAGGCCCTTACTCAATGAAAATAAGAGGTCAAGGATTCATTTCCCGGGTCCCCAAATGCCACTTCCCTAGACAGTGAGGTTCAAATTCACCTACCATAAAAATGAGGTATCATACTTCAGTTTTTACTTCAATACCATGGTTTAATTTTTTTTAATGTAAAAGCTGGGAATGTGGGTTTTTTTCTAAATATAAATAAAATTCAGGAAAAATTAATTTTCCCTCCTACCCTTCCAAGAAACTATTCTGAGTAGAGGATGTATAAATAAAGCAGCAAAATACTATGTGTGGTTCACTAGATGATTTGACAAACCAGCCAAAAATTTACTTGGATATTACACATGTAGGCATTAGTGTTAAGCACTAAAACATATAGTCAAAACAATTTACAAAGCAGTATGTTTATATCACAAAGATAATATATGAGTTTGTTTTACAAGCTAAAGAGAGGGGGATCACATAATGAAAAATTGCATCTTTGTGGCATCTGGTTGATACAAATTACATTTTCTCTAACACATATCTTTGTTCTGGCCACTCGCTAAAGATGCAAATGAGGACTCTAATCACATTTGATGCTGTAGCACAGGCAATGTGATTGCTGGACTTTTTACCTCAGAAGGCAGAGATGTTACTGCTTGCACCACTGTAATTCATTAGTCTTTATTCCTTTATGTAAGATAGTCTGGGTAGTCATTTAGGGTCAGTTCTAAGGTGTCAATATTAATTTTGCACAAAATTTACTGTTATCGATACATGAATTTGAGCTTATAAGCAACTTCAGAACTAATGGTATATTTTCATTGAGTAACACTTACCACATCACAGATTTACCTGACATGTTTTTAACTCTTAAGACTTTTTTGAACTCTTACAAGTTGTGGAGAAGACACTTTTCAAATATAAGGAAAGATCTAATTGCAGTGTAGCACACACAATAGTGATATTTCTTGACAGGATATCATATACCACTGTTACTGAATAAATAAAATAAAATACAGAAGGATCTTGGTGGTGAAACACAAATTAAATTAGGATGTTCAATTAGTATGTCAGTAACATTAAGTAAAAAAATCTATACCACTGTTACTGAATAAATAAAATAAAATACAGAAGGATCTTGGTGGTGAAACACAAATTAAATTAGGATGTTCAATTAGTATGTCAGTAACATTAAGTAAAAAAATCTGGTTCTAGAATCATAGAATCATTGAGGTTGGAAAAGACCTCTAAGATCAGAGTCCAACCGTCAACCCAACACCACCACCCACTAAACCATGTCCCTAAGTGCCTCATCTACT